GCCCGCTGTCCGGGCGGGGGGGGGGGGGGGCCGCAGCTGGGAGGAGCCGACGCCTGTCGTCATTCCTTGCTGGCAGCCGGTCCAGCCTGGTGCGCTGCCAGAAACAGGAGCATCTCCCTTGACGAGGACGGAGGGTGCTTGAAGGGCGTGGGGCGGTGGGTCTGATTGGGGGAAAGCTCCCCGCTGTAGTGCCGTGGCCCAGTCCTCTGGCTGCCCGGCAGCCTCCGAGTTTCCTTCAGTGGCAGCCTGGCCGTAGGAAATGAGCGCAGGCGCTCGTCTTCTTCCTCCACAGAGCGAGCCCTTTGCTGGAGTCCCTCCTCACATCAGCCACTGAAGTGAGTCACTTTCCTCTGCAGGGGATTTGGGGGTGAGACCACAGGAGCCAGCATCTCTCTCTGTGTATCCCGCAGGGCTTCCCGGTTGGTTCCCCCCTCTCTGCACTGGGAAGGGGATCCGGACCCACCGTGCCCTGCCCCCCCCCCACTCTACCACGTGCTCCACCTCAGACTTGGGCTGCTCTGGGCAAGCTTGGCGGTGTTCCAGGCCTCAGCCAGCCAGCGAACCTTGGGAGCGTGAACTGGCTGGTGGGGTGCCTCTGAGCAGTTCCGGGGGGCTTGGCGAGTCTGCCCCCCACCCGACTGAAGCGTGGCAGTTCAAGGGGAGCTCACAGTTACCTGCTCCTGCATGGCAGTGCCGGTTCGCCACTCAGAGGGAGCGTACGAAGTTCCCTCTTGTTGATTCAGACGCCTCCATCTGGCCCTTGATGCCAGGGGTTGGACCACTGCCCACCTTCAGAGGGTGGTGGTTGGACCCCCGGCCTCCTGCGGCCAGAGGGGGCGGCACTAAAGCCAGCTGCACAGACCCTGTCGACAGGCCTTGCTAGTGAAGAATTTGTGAGCGGGGCTCAGCAGCTCTTTGCCATTCTGGGGCCTGAGCGGGGACCTGATCCGTAGAAGTAATAGCCCCTGATGAGGCATCTGGACCTTAGACTGCAGGGGAAGTTTACAGTCCAGACCCCGGGTTTCTGCCCATCTGACTCTGGAGAATATTCCAGCTTGTCCAAATGGAGAACCTTAAGCCGCCTTCAGTCTCAGGAGCGAAGGTGAAATATAAATGTAGGAAAGAAGGACCTGTTCCTGGTGCTGCTTGTCCCACAGTAGATGAACTCTCCCAGTGACAGGGATGCCTCTTGGACGTGGACGCCACTTGTTTTTCCTGTCCCAGGGTTTATAAATAGCTCCGCGCCTCAAACAGGCATTCCCTGAGGAGATAGGCTGCCACATCGTTTCCTTGGTTGATGCTGCCCGTGTCCTCGGTAGGGCCAGAGTAGGCGGCACAGGTACCCTGCCAGGTGATCCTTTGGTGGAGGTGGCGGACACCTGAAGACCTCGGCCTTCCCTGCCCACACTGCCCGGGTGAACTACCCTCAGGAACCATCCTGGCATCGGGTGAATGGGCTCTGTTGTTGGTCTTTATGTGCCTTGCGCCCGTGGGGGGCATTGGCGGGCGCCAAAGATAGGGTTGTTCAGTGTTGTTTTTACATTTTGGACTGTATTTACTTGTATTATTATTGGACTGTTGTGACCTGCCCTGAGCCCGCTTGTGGGGAGGGTGGGATATAAACCCAGTGGTAAATAAATAAATAAAATCCAGGAGGAGGCCGGGGGGGTGGGGATTGGCACTTACAGGCCGAAACAGTTCTGCGCCCTCACTGCACATTGGAGCTCCTCAGCCAGGTGGCTTTTGAACTGCTGGGTCACGTGAACCCTTCCACGGATGGGGAGGATGCCCTGGCCCCCGTTCTTCCAGGCAGGTGCACGCTGTGTACCTGGGTCTGTGAAGCCCAGTCTGGGGGATTGTGGGCCGAGACGGGGGGGGGGCTGCTCCCGGAATGGCTGTGGGGACACACCTTGCAGTAACTCCCCAGCCTGACTGGGGTAAACACCACCCCCTGCCTCCTGGCCTTGTAATTCCAGCCCTGCTTTTCCTCCCTGGGCTCCACATGGGCTGAGCTGGTTGGGGCCTGGTCTCCTGGAGCAGCTTCTCTTCTGCTAGCCGTCCCGTGCAGTGGGGAGCCAAAGCCCCTCTGGCTTCTGTGGCTTTCCGGCAGCGTCCCCCTTGTGGCTCCTGCCACAGTCCACCCTTGCCGTGTGCTCGGGACACACCGCCTCCCGGCCTGCAGAGCAAGCGATCCTGCCCCCGATGCATGTGGGAAGGCTCTGCGATGCTGCTGGAGGGTGAGGCCAGGGAGCCTAGCAAAGGGCGGTGCCCCAGCACCCTTTGGCAGGTGCGTCTCTTGGCACAGGGAGGCCCAGCCGAGGTTCCCTGTTGCTCGAGCTCTCAGGCCTCCTCCCGACTCACCTGCTCCCTTCAGAGCAGGCTCAGGGACGGCCTCCCGTACGGGCCCGTTTGCAGCAGGAGCGGGCCAGAGAAGGGGGCTGGGAAGCCGCAGAAGGGGGCTCTGTCGGTGGAGACCCCTCAGACGCTGCGAGCGGAGAAACCACCAGACCAGCAAGAGGGGGAGAAGAGGCAAAGATCGCCCGTCCCCTTTCCACCTGCAGAGCTCCTCTCTCGGATCCAAGTGGATGTTTAGATAAAATGCATTCAGCATCCAAAGTTTGGGCTAGAAAATCAGGCTGTGGTTCAGTTTGCTCAGTCGGTCCTTGTGCTTTCCTTTCCCACCACTCAGAACAACCTGAAGCCATTCCTGTTATTGGCTTTTGTGGGATCTCTTGTGCTCCTGTGGCCAGGGAAGAGCAGACAAGGCTTCCTGTGTGAACGAGGCTTGGGAGAGTTTTTCTCCAGGCAGCTTTTAATCCTGATTAAGCCTCCAGGAAACACCCCCCCCCTTGCATTTCTGCATCAGCAGAACCTGCCTGGGCCTCTTTGTGCATCTCTTTCAGCCAGGGAAGCTTAGAAGTGGGATTTCTGAAACATAACATTCCCGGCCCCAAAGATATCCGGCTGGCCTTGCAATGGCTCGTCTCCTTTCTCCAGGGTCGGGGACAGAGGGTGGCGTTAGGGGAGCAGACGTCCCAGAGGGCCCCCCCCCCGCTGTCCCCGGGGCGCCGATGATGTTGTTTAACATCTACATGCGCGCCCTTGCCCAGATTGCCCGGAGGTTTGGGCTTGGGTGTCATCAATATGCGGATGACACCCAGCTCTATCTGATGTTGGCGGGCTGGCTTAGACTGCGCCGATTGAAATTGAATCCAAGGAAGACGGAGGTCCTGTGCCTGAGTCGTCGGGGCGGGTCGGGGGTAGGGATCCCACTGCCGCCCTTCGGTGGGGCGCCGTTGGTGCCAGCGCCGAGAGTCAGGAGTCTGGGAGTGCTCCTGGATGCCTCCTTAACAATGGAGGCCCAGGTAGCAGCCACTGCCAAGGCGGCAGGCAGCTGGTTCCCTTCCTCGAACGCAGTGACCTGGCAACAGTGATCCAGGCAGTGGTCACCTCGAGATTGGACTACTGCAACGCTCTCTACATGGGGCTGCCCTTGTCCCAGATCCAGAGGCTGCAGCCAGTGCAGAATGCTGCAGCCAGGCTGCCGATGGGTCTCTCTACACAGGACCAAGTCCATCCTGTGCTGAGGACACTGCACTGGCTGCCTATAGCGTACCGGATTCGGTTCAAGGTGCTGGTTTTAACCTTTAAAGCCCTATATGGTCAGGGGCTTGCCTACTTGAGGGACCGCCTTTCCCCACATCTGCCCCAGAGAGCACTGAGGTCAGGGTCGCAACACCGCTTGACCCTCCCTGGTCCGAAAGAAGCCAGGCTGGACATCAGCAGGGCCAGGGGTTTCTCAGTGGCGGCCCCAACCTGGTGGAAGGAGCTCCCGGAGGACACCAGGGCCCTGCGGGACTGGAGCTCTTCCACCGGGCTTTCGATTAGGGGTCGCCACTGAGGGGTGCGCCCTGGAGCATCTCCTGGCCTGAGACCTCGCTGGATGCTACTCCTATCATTGGGTCTGATTTGGATCGTCGCCACCATCTGTCGGTTTTATTTGTGAATTGTTGCTGTTTTTAACTTGGTACTGTATTTATTAATCGTTTTAATCCCTGTATTGTTTACGTTATTTTAACCCTGTTAGCTGCTTTGAGCCAGTGTGCCCGGCAAGGTGGGATACAAATAGAAATAATAAATAAATAAATAAATATGAGCGAGTGCGGTGAGTCTCGGGGCCGCTGGCCCTGGCCAGGTCTCCCCTCCCCTGCACACACAGGCAGAGTTCCCTCTGGCCGGCCAGCGCCTCCGAGCAGGCTGTGTTCCTCTGGGGGGCAGGGTGGACGTGCGCCAGCGTATTATGTGTATCTATTTACGTGGCTTCAGGTTTGCCTTTCTCACTGGGCCTCCAGGTGGGTGGCATAGAGCGAGTCAATCCCATTGACCGGATGGGGGCATTCATTGAACAGCGCAGCAGGATTTGGATGGCAGAAGTCCGGGTCCAACCAGAAATCTAAAAGACAGAACTGACACAATGCAGAGGTATTCCCATGACACATCCAGGTAGTGCAGAAATGACACAGAGGCGGATCCTACTTCCAGCACGCTCCACACAGTAGGGCCGGCCACAGTCCCTTAGCGTTTATCCAAGTAACCTGTAGGGCATTTTGTGCAGTTCAGCTCTACTGCTGTTCACTGGCACCCTTTTCTTCCTCTTGCTCTCAGTTGCAGAGTTACTTTGCAGCGTGCGAAGATGAGACGCCGGCCATCAGAAACCACGACAAAGTCCTGCAGCGCCTCTGTGAGCACATCGACCACGCACTGCTCTACGGGTGAGGAGTGGGGCCCGGAGACGGCGGCGGCTCTCGGTCTGAGCCCCTCCCTGCAGGGGCCTGGAGCTAGTGAGCGAGCGCTGTGGCCCCGCAGGCAAAGGAAGGGTGACAGTCGAAGCCCCCCACACACACACACTGTGGGCCATGGACCAGGCGCTCTCTTGGCCTCTGGGAAGGGTGCTGAGGCTGGTTTCTCCAAGTGGCCCCCGGGGTGGTCTGGGCACAAGCCTAGGGGCAGAGGACTGTTGGAAAGCCACAGAGTGGCGCACGCAAAAGAATCAAGTCCCCTTTGGTCTAGAGGCGGCCACCTTGGATCACGAGAGTCTGCTCCTGCCCTCCATCGAAGGACCAGACCTGTCCTGTTTGGGGGGTGGGGGTGGCGGGGTTTCCTCCCACACTGAGGCAGTCAGAGCCTGGGGGGGGGGGGGGGGCGGGCCCCCGCCCGCCGGGGGGGGAGGCCAGGCCTCTGCCGCCGCCGCAGAGCCTACCTTAATGGGAGCCCACCTTTGCCAGAGGCGCTCTCCTCCCTCATTCCCCTGCTTCCACAGACTTCAAGATCTCCCTTCGGGCTACTGGGTCTTGGTGGTCCACTTCACCCGCAGAGAAGCCATCGAGCAGATCCAGCTGCTGCAGCACGTGGCCACCAACCTGGGACGCAGTAAGCATGCGGGCAGCAGCCCTGTTTCAGGCCGAGGGGGGCCGTGATGTCGGGGGCCGGGCCGCTTCCTGCTGCACTTCCCCTGGCGGACTCTGGGGCTGAGCTGTTCAGAGCATCAAATGCCAAAACAAGCCTCTGGAATTAGGTCTGGGGGCCCCAGCAGGAACCAGCGCAGTGGGTAGAATACCGGGAGTGTACTTTCACCCTGGCATGTCTTAGTCAAAGCTTGGCACAGGGAGCTGTGAGGCAGCACAGGGACCGAGCGGGGCCAGCAACACTCTCTGGGTGGCTCTGTGCCGCCTGGAAGGATTCCGCCATCAGCGGCAGAGAAGTCCAGGAGGACCAGCAGGGACACGGCCTCCTGTATGCGCGTGTGTGTCTGTACACACAGAGTTGAGAAACTTTTTCATCAGCCAAATCTTCCTCTCCAGGATACTGGAAGCTCCCCTGGGCTTAGAGGGAACAAGCTGGGGCAGTGAGGTGGTGAACACTTTGGAAACTTATTTATCATTTCTCTTGTTGAATTTATCTCCTTAGTGGGATCAGGCTCAGGGTGGTGCACGACACAATTGTATAAATAGCAAGTTAAACAACCTAAAACTAAGTAAAACGGTAAAAACGTAATAGTCCAGTTTACCAAGATGGTGCTGAAATCCTAACAGCACTGCTGCCTCGTAGGAAGAGGGCGCGGGGGCGGGGGGGGAATGGGGGTGCCAAGACGGAGCCATCGCTGTCCTCGACCGAACGCCTGGCGGAACACCTTGCACGCCCTGTGGCGCTGTCCTCTGTCCCACAGGGCAAGGACGTTGTTCGGCCGAGGGACCCACCAGGTTGGCCCCAGGGCAGAGGAAGGCCAGGCATCTCTCTTGCCAGGGGCCACCATTGAGTCCTGATCTCCCGAGCATCACGCTCACACAGACTCTCAGACATGTCCACCCTTCGGGCTCCTGTCAACTGCCGGGCATGACCCGGTGGCTCTTCCTCGCCGGCTCTCAGCAGCTCCCTTCACGTCTGGCAGCACTTTAGAGAGCAAAATGATTGCCAAGGGAGGAGTGTCGGAGAGTCCGATCTGCGCGCTGGGGTGGGGTGGGGGGAGGCTTGACTCTCGACAGCGCGTCCTTTGCGCTCTGAGGTCCTCCCAGACGGGACTCCGGCTGTTCCTCTGCAGATCAGCCTGGCCACCCCCTGGAAGGGTCAGCCGCCCTCGGCAGTCCGGGCCTCCTCAAGCCCTCTCCAGCCTCACCAGGCTGGGTTTTTCTTCGGGTTGGTTTCCAAAGTGCTTTCCCCCACCCCACCCCACCCGTGTGTGTCTGGGAATCTCTGCCTTGTCTGCAGACGGTCGTGACCTGCAGAAGCTGCCCCCTTCACTGTTCACGATTGGGAACGATGTTAACACAATTTTTTTTTAAAGCGTCCTGAAGGGTTTTAGGGTTGCATGCCAAGCCAGGCCTGAGTCCCAGAACCTGCGTTCGTTCGGTTCTCTGTCTGGGGGTTTGTGGGAGCGTTGCACAGTGTTGGTCAGGTGTCTTGGCCACCTGGCCTTGGGACAGGGGTAATGGGGCTTTTATGGGCCAGCCACGGCCGAGTCCAGAGAAGCCACCACCCATCGCTCTTGGCATTCAGCAAGATGAAACGATCCGTTCGCCCAGGAGGGGCTCTGGCGGGAGTGGGAGGGACAGGAGTGCCCACCAAGAGCCCCCCCTTTGCCGTCCCCTGCAGGCCGAGCGTGGCTGTACTTGGCCCTCAACGAGAACTCCCTGGAGAGCTACCTGCGCCTGTTCCAGGAGAACTTGAGTCTGCTGCACAAGTACTACGTCAAGTGAGTCCCCTTCCGTGGGTGGCTTTGGCATCCTGCTGTCCAGGGGCTGGGAGAGAGCAGAGAGATGGCTTGGGGGGGGGGAGAGGATGGACCCTTTGGTTTCTGAGGTTGATACCATTCCCATATTCCCAGCATCTTTTCCTCCCATTTGCTTTTCTCGTGTATTTTTCAAAAAGTATGCATGTGGTAATCTTAAAGGCTCACAGGTTGGTTCTGCCATAAACTTCCCTGGCCTAGAACTCCCTTCCCCGTACGTGTATGGAAGGTCTCAACGGCAAAGGGAACATGGCAGTGCAGAAATGCTGGGACAGTCTGTATCCGATTCAGACGTGTTCATGATCAGCACAGGGGCCTTTTGCTGCTGCTGCAGCAGCAGCAGCAGCAGCAGCTGTGATTTGGGGAAGTCACAGTCTGCCTACATCCTGGTGGGTCACCGTGTTGGTCTGAAGCAGCAAAACAAAGTTTGAGTCCGGGGGCACCTTTAAGACCCACACAGTTTGATTCAAGGTATATGCCTCCGTGTGCAAGCCACACTTCTTCAGATACAGTGAAACAGAATTTCCTCAACCATTACATATAGAAAGAGAGGGAGGGTTAGTTACCAGTTAGTGGGGGTGACAACCAGGGCTATTTTGGGGCAGGAACGCACAGGAACGAAGTTCCGGCTGGCTCCCGAGTTGGCCACGCCCAGCAGGAACCCATTAGCATAATAGGTCACACCCAACAGCAGAAAATCATTAGGATTGGCTACATTAGGGGTGGGGTGTGTGGCCTAACATGCAAAGGAGTTCCTGCTACAAAAAAAGCCCTGGTTTGACAACAAAGTAAACAGAATAAGAAGCAAAAAGTGGGTGTGGCTGGACGACCACACTCCTGGTAACATGGGAGTGTGGCCTAATGTGCTAATGAGCTGTGATGTCAGGGGTGTGGCCTAATGTGCTAATGAGCTGTGATGTCAGGGGTGTGGCCTAATGTGCTAATGAGTTTCTGCTGTTGGGTGTGGCCTAGTATGCTAAGGAGTCCCTGCTGGGCTTTTTCTACAAAAAGAGCCCTGGACTGACAACTATTTATTACATTACATTACATTCTACTATTCTATAAGAAACCAGTTGCTGAGTTGCATGTTATTATAACACTCAGAACAATGGAATCCCCAGAACTTAACAGGGATGTTGGTTTCTTATCTCACTACACATGCTAACCTCATTCAGCCCTTACATCTGTATTCTCACCAATCCCCCAGAAGGGCCATTTTATTTTATCTCTTATTTGGAATAACAGATTAGAATAGTAGAGTATAATGTAACGTAATGAATAATTTTTGCCCAAACTAACTGGCAACTAACCCCCCACCCTCTCTTTCTATATGTAATGGTTGAGGAAATTCTGTTTCACTGTATCTGAAGAAGTGTGCTTGCACATGAAGGTTTAAACCAGGAATAAAACTTTGTTGGTCTTAAAGGTGCCTGACTGGACTCCCACCTTTGTTCTATAGTCTGCCTAGTGAGGCTAAGCCAGTTGAGCTCCTGTCGTGGGGTGGAATGCTTTGTCTCAAATGCTGATTTGTTTTTGTGGAACTGCCCAATAAGTTCTAGGTTAGCAGTAGGACACCTTTTGCTTTTGTGGCACAAGCAGACAAGCACAGTTTAGTGTCGTGGTCAGGCACGCGGGTTTGATTCCCCACCCCTCCTCCACATGCATCTGCTGGTGTGACACTGAGTCAGTTACAAGTTCTTTCAGAGCTGTTCTCTCACAGGCAGTCCTCGGAAGAGTGGGGAGGGGAAGGGAAGGGAGATTCTGAGACTCCTTTGGGTAGTGAAGGGTGGGGTATAAATCCAGTCTCTTCTTCTTCTTTTAGGAATTTGTAATTCTGGAAGGTTTGGGGAGGGAACCCCAGAGGTTATGCCAGCACCTGCTAGAAGCCCTGAGGCTCTAGGGGTGGGGTCCCCACACCCGTGAGAGGTTTTCACACCTCTGTGTCCCGCTGCCTGGAGCCACGCCCCATAGTTTCGGGGGGGGAGCATCTCATAACCAGGCCTCCTTTTCAGTCTGACCGTTCAAATCTGAATGCAGGAACTGCTGTATCAGAAGTGTGTTGCTCGGGTACGGCTTTTCCCCATGGAGCTTTCTAGGCTCCGCAGAAGTCCCTGCCTGCAGCCCAGTGTGCTTGCCGCAGCCTGGAGCCTCTCAGGAGTCCGGTTGCAGAGGAGAGGAAGGGGAGCTAGGCGGGGAGCCCGGCCCGGGGACTTTGCCTTACCCAGAGCCTCAGGGCTTGTGAGCAACCGACTTCTCTGTCCGGCAGGAGCGCCCTCGTCTGCAGCCAGGACCATCTGACCCTCTTCCTCACGCTGGTCTCCGGCCTGGAGTTTATCCGGTTTGACTTGGATCTGGTGAGCAGGTTGTCGTCTCTTTCCAGGGGGCGGGGCGGTTTCAGGCCCCCCATCCCCATATGCATTCGTGGGTCCACGTCTGCATTGGGCCTCGCTTATTACTGTTAAATCCTTCTCTCCGGCACTTTCATTTGAAAATTCACAAGATGGTTGGCGGGGATCAAAAACATGACGTCTCGTATTCGGCCATCACCACTATTGACAGCATCGGCGCAAACGCGCAGTGTCATATCGAAGCAGCACAGTAGCCATTTCTCATTGGCCAGTGCAGGAGACATGTGCTCCAGCCTCTTCAGAGACCCGCTGGAGGCGGTGCACAGCATCCCCCCAAAAATCAAACCAGGCAAATGTTAACGTATTCATATTAAACAGACCCATAAAGCCCCCGAGCTTCAAACATGTAGCAGCCTAAACCTTGGAAGCCGCTTGTGATGGTCGCTGTGACTGGCACGCGGGGGCAGAGGGCCCTGGCCCCTAGGGGGCATTCCGGGCACCAGAGAGGCTCCCGTCCATTTTGTGACTGTTGTGGCTCTTTGAATCAAGTGGGTCGATCTTGCCCTTCAGTGGCTCCTCCTCTTCTTTCTTGAGTGCATTTGCAGTGTCACGGAGGGGATCCACGATCGCCAGCGTAATGCTCCCCCCCCACCCCCCCGCCAGACTGATGCGTTCCTCCATCTTTCTCTGCTGCTCCCAGGACGCCCCCTACTTGGACCTGGCCCCCTACATGCCGGACTACTACAAGCCGCAGTACTTGCTGGACTTTGAGGATCGCCTCCCCTGCTCGGTCCACGGCTCGGACAGCCTCTCTCTCAACTCCTTCAATTCCGTCACCTCCACCAACCTGGAGTGGGATGACAGTGCCATCGCCCCCTCTAGTGAGGGTGAGTGGCCGGGGAGGGGCTCAGAGCCCCCGTGCCAGAAGGCCTCAGCCTGACCGGGCTTCTTGCCAGCGGTCTTGGGGTGGGTCGCACGGAGCGTGCGCCGGGGAGTGGCGCCTCCTCGAGTTCTTCTGCACAGAGCCCTGCTCACTGGGCCAGTGGGGATTCCCGAGGGCAGAGGGTGGGCTGCCGCCCCATAGACACGGCTGCTCCCGGGGCAGGAGAAGAGCCAAATGTGGTAGGCAGATTCCAGCCCCAAGGCCAGCAGGTGTCGTGTGGGTGCGGGATAAGGGGAATGCCCCGAGGCCAGCAGGTGTCCCGGGGTGAGGGTCACGCCGGCACGTGTCGGTGGCGTTGCTTGGCGGGGCACCGTGGGGGTGGGCTGTCGGCCTGCTTCCCACTCCCTCCCCAGCCACGAGGCGCTTAGTTCCCATTGCGTTCCGATGGGCGTTTGCAGGCCATTTGCCTCTGAGGGGATGTGCCGGCAGCCGCCGCCCTTCTCGCCTGCCAGGAGCCCTGAGCTGCGCAAGCCAGGCCGGAGAGTGGCGCTGAAGGCATGCAGGGCTGGGAGGGTCCCTGGCTGCAGGGAGCAGCCGGGTACGGAAGGTGCCCGTGCCCGGCCGTGGGGAGGCCTCTGGCTGTCTTCGGACGGCCCCGCCTGCTCTCCTTGGCTCGCCCTGAGGCCTTGTGGGGGTGGAGGGAGGGTCGGCTGGCAGCGGCCGTGCAGGTCTCCCCTCCTCCTCCTCCCCCTCCTCCTCCTCCCGGCGAGCCTTCCCAGTGAACCGCTGTGTGCTGCTGGCCGAGGCCCCCTCCCTGCAGCTCTCCTTTCTAATCTGTGGTTTTGTCCCCCACTTTGTAGATTATGATTTTGGAGATGTCTTTCCCGCAGTGCCATCATCCCTGCCCACCGCAGCCTGGGAAGGTGGGACGATCGTGCCCCTTGTCTGTAGCCGCGCTCTCGGGGCCGCTCTTGTTTCTGCACCCAAGCTTGCTGCATGCTCTGCCGTTGGTTTCCTAACACCATGTGGGGCCTGCAGGAACCAAGAGCTTGAGAGGGTGGCCGGTGGCTCCCCCTGTTGTGGGTTCTGGCGCGGTCCGTAGAGTGCGGGCTCTTCCATGTGTGCGGGTCTCAGCCTCTCCCCGTGGCCTCTGGTTTCTCTCTGCCACTCACCCCGCAGTTCTGATCTGAGCATCTAACCTCCTCGCCCCCTGTGACTTGGCCCGTCCTGGCATGAGATGCGCCGTCATTGCTCTGGTCCTTCAAACTAACAAGCCTCCCGAATCGGTCTTCGGTGCCAACGAGGAGGGCGACTAACGGTGCTTCCTGTTCCGAAAGTGCATTGGGGAGGAACGGGAGGAAGCTGCCTTCTTGTCCGGTTGGTCTCTCACGAGGAGCCCTTTCCCCAAGAGCCCCTCCTCCGACGTGGAGCCCCCCTCCCTCTGCTGCCCACGAGGCCGGTGTGGGCAGCAGACGAGCCACAGGCGGTCACCAGCACTCCGGCTGCCCGTCTCCTGGTGCCTAAAGTAAGCCTCTAGTCCTCAAGAATGGAAACCGGAGGACAGGGTGGCAGAAAGAGCTCCCTATAGGGCAGTGGACAGAACAGGGGATTGGCTTACGGCTGCCTCCTGGCAGGTTCCCCCCAAATTAAAAATCCCCCCCCCCCCCGAAAAAGGAGGTCCACGTTCCGAGGCTGACTGCCGCTTTCCGCCCTGGAAGGGAGCCGTTTGGTAAGGATACTGTCGAGTCGGCGGAAGGGGGCTGCAGAGGGCCTCCCGGGTCCTCCGGAATCAGAGCGGAGGGATGTGGGTCCACCTGGGCTTAGGCCGGCCAGTCAGTCAGTCAGTCCGGGTCCCGCCCTCTGCTGCTGCTGGGCCCCTGGTGCTCGGGGGGAGCAGAGGGGGGGTCTCAGCCCTGACTTTGACAGAGTCGTCCTTGGAAAAGGAGCTCTTGTGCTGGCTGGTGTTGGCGTCACGTGGACACAGGCAGCCCCCTTCTTCCGAGTCCGACCCCGGGGCCATCGTGGTCACTCTTGCCTCCCGCCAGGACCGCTCAGGCGGAGGATGGGCTTCCACGTCCCCGCCTGCCTCCTCCGTTGAGCTGGAGGTGCCGCCGGGGGTCCAGCCGGGGACTTCCTGCATGCCGGGCAGATGCTCTCTCGCGGAGCCACGGCCCCTCCTGCCTCCTTTGGCTTTGGGCCAAGGGGGGACACCTCCATGAGACAGCTGGAGACCAGTTCCCGGCTGGCCTGGCTCCCGGGCGGGCGGGCAGCTCCCCAGAGAGGCCCACTGAGGATGGCCGGTGCCCTCTCAAGGCTTGGGCAGCAGCCCTAGGGAAGCCGTGGCAGGTTAGGTGTGCTTCAGGCCACGTGGCATATCGGTCGCTCTGCGCCAGGCCTCTGCCTGCGGGGAGCCCCAAAGAGCAGCCAGCCGCTGGGTCTGCCCCGGCACTGGCGTCCAGCTGGGAGGCCTCCCGCGCCGGTGTTCTGCTGCTGCCAGCCACTGACCAGAGGGGTGGGGTGGGGGCTCTTCTTTCTCTTCCCCAGACGGAGACCTCACAGACACCCTCAGCGGCCCCCCCAAGAGCCCGACGCAGCGCTACAACCCCTTCAACAAGAAGGCGGAAGCGCCGTCCTCTGCGGAGACCACCCCGGTGCACCACCTTGCCTCCCAGGAGAGGGCGGGCCCCGTGACGGAGGGCGCAGACCAGTCCGGGAGTTGCCCTGAGCTGGAGGTCATCAGGTCAGTGTGGGGGCGGTGGCGGGGGGGGTGCGTCTTGGTGCCGGATCAGCGGCCCCGCTGGCCGGGTGCTATCTGCTCCCTGCAGCTTCTGGCAGTGGCTGGCCTGTTCTAGCTTCCCTCGTGGGACGAGGCTCTTTGTGCTTCCTGCGCGGGGGGGGGGGAGGCTGGCCCATCCCACTCTGACAAAAGAGTTTCGGAGACCCAACGTGTTCTCGCTCAGAGCCCACTGCAGATGGCGTTCGATCCGCTAGAGCGGCCAGCGGCTGCACATGGGGTCCTCTGCGTGCGCAGCAAGCCCCCCGCCACTGAACTATATGGCAGGAGGAGCAGAAAAACACTCTGGTGGAAGGAGATGATGTCGGCAGCACCCCTCTGGAGGGGGCAGGGCACTGAAACCAGGGCGAGGCGGTGGGTGGGTGGGGGTGGCGAAGCCGCCCTTGAGGAGTGCTCCGGAGCCCAGAGAGGGGCAGCGTCTCTGTTCTTTTGCATTTGGGAGGAAGTGCTTGCCGGATGTCCTGGAATGTCCCCCGCCCCAGCAGCACTCCTCCTCCTCCTCCTCCTTGCAGGCTGGCGAAAAAGAAGAAGGCCGGGAAGAAGAAGAAGGGCGGCAGGGCGGAGGAGGCTGCAGCGGTGGCAAACGTGGCCCCCCCTGCTGCTGCCGCCGCAGACCCAGCTGGGGGGGCTCCGGGTGCCGGCGGGGAAGGCGGAGGGAGCCTGGTCCCGGAGGAGCCCCCCGCGCTCGGCCAGCTGGGGCTGCGCATCCCTGAACTGAAGGACACGTCGATGGAGCAGGTGGGGCAGCCGCTCAGCCATGTGATCGACACGCTGGACCGGCAGCTGGACCCCCGGGGGTGGGGCTGCTCCCTCGAGCCCCCCGACCAGTCCTTTCGGACCGAGGCCCCAGAGGGGGCCCTCGCGGAGGGGCCCCCCTCTGGTGGCTTTCGCCAGGGGGTGCCGTCCCCCATGGTCTTCTACCACTTTGCCGGCGAGGGTCCAGACGCTCTTGCGCCAGGTGGTGGCCACCATGACTCTTCAAGGGATGGCCAACCGCCGCCTGTCCCTGGTGGCCCTGCGGCTGCTGGACCGGAGGAGGAGGAGGGAGGAGGAGGAGGTGGCAGCGGCAAGGGGGAGACTCTTGGGCCAGTGACGGACTCGCAGCAGGAGGAGGAGGAGGTGGCGGCTGCCAGCATGGAGGCCCTCGGCCGCCTCGAGGAGGAGGAGGAGAAGGCCAGCCCCTCGCCCAGCAGTGCGGAGGAGGACTCCGGGGTGGAGGAGGGGCAGGGCAGCCCTTCGGAAGCAGCCCACCCCTCAGAATTCAGGTGGGTGGCCACGTGGTGTCCTTCCCTCTGGCAAAAGAGGGCTGCAGCCACCAAGGATCGGCTCCAGGGCAGGTGTACCTAACTCGGCTTGCGCAGCTGGGGACAATGGGGGAGCGGGCGGCTTCTTCTGTGGGGCTTCTCCCCGACAGAAGAAGGAGAGAGGGATTGGACTTATACCCCATGGCCCTTCACTACCCGAAGGAGTCTCAGAGCAGCTGACAAACTCCTTTCCCTTCCGCTCCCCACCTACCTGTGTGAGGTAGGTGGGGTGAGAGAGCTCTCCCAAGAACCACTCCTGAGAGAACAGCTCTGAAGGAACTTGTGACTGGCCCAAGGTCACACCAGCAGCTGCATGTGGAGGCAGAGTGGGGAATCAAACCCAGTAGCTTTCCCAGGACAGAGTCCGCGCACTGAGCCACGACACTCAAACTGGCTCTCACGAGAGAGGTGAATGGCTGCCCTTCAGTCCTCTGCAATCCTCCCGTGGTAACCCTGCAATAAGCGATAGACTACAGCAAGGTATAAAAACACTGAAACCGAACAACTGGCCAGAAGCTCAAGGCAAGACGATTGGAGTGGCAGTTAAATGGCGTAATAAATGATTCTCTCAAGTGACAGAGCCAAGGCAAGGTCTGGGATGTAAACGGAAGAGCTAGCCATCTCTGACAGCCCGGCCAAACAGAAGTGCCTTCACCTGTCAAGCGGGGGGGGGGGGGGGGTTAGCACCAGGTGATGAATTCCAGGAGGTTTCCTCTGTAGTCAAGGGGCCACAACAGAGAAGGCACTGTCTGTAGGGGCCATCCAACCTTTGAAAACAGGCACACGGAGAGTGGGGTTTCTGGCAAAGATTGCAACTGTCAGGCAGGTTTGTGTGGGCATAGGTAGACACCCTCTGGTAGTTGGTCGAGGTCCTCTCTTGGTGTGCTAACTGGATCCCTCCGCTGCCCCCTAGACATTGGGGGAGGCTTTTGTGTCTTCATCCTCCCCTCCCCTAATCTCTTCTGCTTTCCGCTCTCTCTTCCTCTCTGCGCAGGGTAGACAATAACCACTTGTTGCTGCTGATGATCCACGTCTTCCGAGAGAATGAGGAGCAGCTGCTGCGGGTACGTCTGGGCACCTCTGTCTCCTCTCCTCCCCCGGTTCGTTTGGGACGTTCCTCACCAGTGTCCCGTTTTGTGCTTTGCTGGAGGAGAAAATCCAATGGCAGTGGAGTGGGTGGGGGTGGGAACCGTCCATCCCCGGGGTGAAGCTGCCCGTTGGCACCCGAGGGGTCGCGTGGCCGTGTTCCCCAGGCTCCCTGCCTGCCCACGCAGCTTGGCTCAGCCGCTCTGCTTTCCTCCTGCAGATGATCCGCATGAGCACGGGGCACATGGAGGGCAACCTGCAGCTGGTCTACGTGCTGCTGACGGACTGCTACATCTACCTCCTCCGCAAAGGTAGGCTGTGGTGCCAGGCCTGCCCCGGGCGAGAGTGGGGTGGAACTGTTCATTTAGCTAGACGATGATCACGCGTTGAAGCGGGAAAGAGCGGGCATAAATTTGCCGTTTTTTCTGTATAATCATGTTGATGTGATAAGCAGATTGCATGTCTCTGCATGGGATGCTAAGAAGGTATCAGGTGAGATTTCTGCTCATGTGTGGGACTTGATATAAAAACTCCTAAAAGATACCCTGAAATCTGGTATGCTTTTAATTTTTGTCATTCAAATATGGTTGAGAAATGCTAGGAGATTTCATTTTATCGACACTTGTTTTTGGAGCAGCTATAGGTTTAATTTTCACAAGTATGTATTTTCTGACTTCTTGTCTAATAAAGAGAATTGTTTCTTTTTTCAATAAAATACAGTTTATTCTCTGACAGTTTTTTGCCTGGTTTGCCAGTAAGAGCTCAGAGAACAGAACTCACAATTAATTCATTGGAATTATCAAACAACCCAGAGACATCAAGGGCCAAATTCTTAGAAGACTCCGTGCTCCAGGTTCTCTCCTTGGATACGAGAGCACTTTATAGAATCACAGAACTGAGAATCTGAGAGCTGGGAGGGGCCCTGCAGGCCATCCAGTCCCCCACCCCCTGCTCAATGCAGGACCAGCCGAGAGCATCCCTGACGAGTGTTTGTCCAGCCACTGCTTGAAGACTGCCAGAGAGGGGGAGCTCACCACCTCCCCAGGCAGCTGATTCCACTGTGGCACAGCTCTTGACTGTAAAAAAGTTTTTCCTAAGATCCAGCCAGTACCTTCCCACCCTTCCTTTAAACCCATGATTGCGAGTCCTCTTCTCGGCTGCCCACAGGAACAGCTCCCTGCCCTCCTCCTCTAAGTGACAGCCCTTCAGATACTTCAAGAGAGCAATCTTGTCTCCCCCCTCAGCCTCCTCTTCTCCAGACTGAACATCCCCAAGAAGTCCTTCAGCCTTTCCTCCTAGGGCTTCTTGGTCTCCAGGCCCCCAATCATCCTTGTTGCTCTTCTCTGCACATGCTCCCTTCTGTCCACATCCTTTTTGAAGTGAGGCCTCCAGAACTGCACACAAGACTCCAGGTGCGGCCTGACCAATGCAGTGTCCACTGGGACTATGACATCTTGCAATCTGGATGTTATGCCTCTGTTGATGTACCCCAGGATCACGTTAGGCTTTTTTTGTCGTTGCATCACACTGGCTGCTCATATTTAACTTGTGGTCCACCCATACCCCAAGATCTTGTTCACACACACACACACACAGTTACCCAGTAGTGTATCCCCCACCCAGTATGCGTGTTCCTCGTTGTTACCCAGATGAGGAACTCAGCACAAATTGCATCTTGCTCACATCCTCCCACTTATCCAGTGTGTTCAGATCTCATTGAACTCTACATCCTCTGGTGTGTTTGCTGCTGCTCCCCAATTTGGTGTCATCTGCACATTTAATGAGTAGCCCCTCCACACCCTCATCCAGATCATTCATAAAAATATTGAAAAGTACTGGGCCCAGAGCCGAGCCCTGTCAGGCACCCCACTGGACACCTCCCTCCATTCCAATGAAACGCCAGTGGCAACTCCTCTCTGAGTGGGGTTCCGCAGCCAGCTCCCTGCCCACCTCACTGTCCTAGAGTCCAGTCCACAGTCCTCTAGTTTACCCATCAGAACATCGCGGGGAACCCTGTCTGAAGCTTTACTGGAATCCATGTGAACTGCATCAGCAGCATCCCCTCGAATGCGCGTTGCAGGCTGGCCCAGAGTGTTCTGTCTGCATGTTGTCCTCTCAAGGCCCAGCGCCAACCTGGCAAGGCAGGCTGCTCCAAAGGGTGTTTGTCCAGCCCAGCTCCACGTCTGCCCCCTGCCAGGCAGCTTCCGAGCGGAGACGTTTTGCGCGGTTTCAGTGGCGCTCTCTGAGATTCTGGCCGGATCTGACTGGAAGGAGTCATTTTAGGCGGGACACCCGGCAATTTCTGCTGCCTCAGTTGTTGTGGCCCCTGAGATCAGAAATGCCCCCCCCCCCCCCCCCACGCAAGCCCGGGATTGCCCTCCTGCCTGCCGCTCCTTTGGGCCAGGGAGCGCTTCTGCAGCCTGCGCCCCACAGGGCCGGGTGTCGTGGCTGTGCGGCCTCCCGGGCTCCTCGAGGGACGGGGAGTTCCGTTGAGGTTTCGGACTCGGCCCGTCACTGTGCGTGAGGATGGGGAAGCTGTGCGGGGCTCTCACGCTCCCTCCCTCTCCTGCCAGGAGCCGCTGAGAAGCCGTACATGGTGGAGGAGGCGCTCTCCTACAGTGAGCTGGACTACATCTCAGTGAGTGGGGGCGGGGGCGGCAGGGGGCTCCAGCGTGCACGGGGGGCTTCTGGGCTGGGCTCTGGGAGCCAAGTGGGGTGGGGGGCAGGGGGGAAAGGGCTGAGCACAAGGGGTTGGGGAGGGGCCCCTGCCTGGCGTGCAGAAGGTCTCAGGCTCAGTCCCCGGGATGTGAAAGTCCTCCGCCTAAGACCCTGGAGAGTTGCTGCCAGTCTGAGCCGACAAGACTGACCCGGGTGGATCGAAGTTCTGTGTGGGGAGGAGGCTGCCGCCCGTGTGTGTGCGTGTGTGTTCATGTGGTCTGCTTTCCTGGCAGGTGGGCCTGGACCAGCAGACCGTGACGCTGGTCTGCACCAACCGTCGGAAGCAGTTCCTGCTGGACTCCGCCGATGCTGCCCTGACAGAGTGAGCGAGCGGGGGCGGGGTGGGGCCCCTGCAGCGCAGCTGTCCTTCCGGGCACTGGCCTCCTGGCAGGGCTTGGGAGCCATGGGCTCCCCGTCTGGGCTGCCTCTCTGTAGCGTGGGAAGGAGCGCTGCTTAGTAGAGCTCTGGGGTTTGGGGCAGCTGAGCAGGAGTGTGGGCTGTCCCGTGGTCGGAGGAGCCCTGGAAAGGCCACCGTGGTTACTGCAGCGGGGGGAGCCTCGGTCGCCGTTCAGGCCAGGGCCCCCCGTGGCCTCTCCGGCAGCCTCGTCCCGTGTCACGGCAGCTCCTAGTAAGACCCAGAAGTTTGTGGGCTTCAGGCGTGGTCCTCCGTTCTAACGGCGAAATGGGACCCTGCAGGCCCTTAAACAGTGTGATGGAGCGCAATGCCGGAACCAGGCAATGAATAAAGCTGGCATGATATATACAGGGACCACGGTCCGAAATTCCACCGGCATTCACTGCTCACTGCCTCATTCACAGCCTGGAAAGGCCCTCTGCACAGTTCTCTCTTACCCCGTCTGGGATGCGAGAGGAGGGTGGGAGAGGGGGCTCTGCTGACGGCTCTCTGGCAAGGCGGGACACAAATGGGAAATAATAAATAAATGAACAAACGATCAGGCCGGCCGTTCCGCCTTGGGGGGCTTTGCAGTTGGCTTTGACTTGGTTCTGAGCTGGGGCCCTTTCTGCTTGAGTCTCCGGGGTGTTCTCCGCCCCCTGATTCTCGGCTCTCCTCCCGGCCAGGTTTTTCCTGATGTCTCTGAAGTCAGCGATGATCAAAGGGTGCCGGGAGCCGCCCTACCCGAGCATCCTGACCGATGCCACCATGGAGAAGCTGGCGCTGGCCAAGTTTGTGGCTCAGGAGTCCAAGCGGGAGGTGAGGGGCCCTGCAGGCTGCATCTCTGGGTTCGCCTGGGGGCCCGCCCCTTGAGGACAGGCCTTCCCAGCCCCAGGCCCCCAAGCGCCCTTCATAGGTGGGGGTGGACTGGGATCTGCATCTGCAGCCCTCGGGGGAGGGGGGGTGGACCGTGGCTGCCTGGCCTGGAATCCGGGAAGGCCTGGGTGTGCCCGCTTCATTCAAGGGAGGAGGGCCAGAACGGCTGCTTGGTGCGAGGTCTCTGCCTGGGGCTGCCCCCAGGTGTAGGTGACAGCCCTGTCCCTCCCGAAGAAGAAGAGGAGGAGGAGGAGCCCCAGCTCAGTCGCCGCCCCGGGGGCTTCCTGCTCCCCCTGTGCCCTCAGCCCTGCCAAGGCCCGTGCCCCCACGCGAGGGCTTCCTGGGCACCAAGAACAGGGGTCAAAATGGGCACCGTGGGCTCTGCTGAGTGCTGGCCCTGCTGACGCCGCGGCTGGGCGGGGCCTCTTGCAGACCTCCGAGGTGACGGTGCGATTCTACGGCCTCGTGCACTGGGAGGACCCCCTGGACGAGACGCTGGGCCCCAGCCCCCCGCACTTCTCCCTGGCCGAGAGCTCTGCCACAAAGGAGGGCATGCTGGACTACAAGGCGGGCACCAACTACCTGGGCAAGGAGCTTTGGAAGCCCTGCTTCGTGGTGCTCAGGTGAGAGGCCGCGGGGTCGGAGGGCAAGGACCGGCGGGGGGGGGAGGG